AATTGAAGAAGACACAAAAAGATAGAAAAATATTCCTTACTCATGGATAGGATGAATAAATATTGTTAAAACGTCTATGCTGCCCAGAGCAATCCATCCTGATAAAAATTCCAATGACATTTTTCAAAGTGCTGGAACAAACAATCCTAAAATCAGAATCAGAAAAAACCCTGAATCACCAAGGAAATGTTGAAAAAGAAAAACAAAGCTGGAGGCATCACGATGCCCGATTTCAAGCTATATTACAAACCAGTGATCACCAAGACAGCATGGTCCTGGCACAAAAACAGACATCTAGACCAGTGGAACAGAATGGCGAGCCCAGATATGGACCCTCAACTCTATGGTCAAATACTCTTCGACAAAGCAGGAAAATATGCAATGGAAAAAAGTCTCTTCAATAAATGGTGCTGGGAAAATTGGACACCACATGCAGAAGAATGAAACCTGACCATTCTCTAACACCATACACAAAGATAAACTCAAAATGGATGAAAGACCTCAATGTGAGATAGGAATCCATCAAAATCCTAGAGGAGAACCTAGGCAGTAACCTCTTTGACATCGGCCACAGCAAGTTCTTTCAAGATACATCTCCAAAAGCTACTGAAACAAAAGCAAAAATGAACTTTTGGGACTGCATCAAGATAAAAATCTTCTGCACAGCAAAGGAAATAGTCAACAAAACAAAGAGGCAACCCACAGAATGGGAGAAGATATTTGCAAATGACACTACAGATAAAGGGCTGGTATCCAAGATCTATAAAGAACTTCTCAAACTCAACTCCCAAAAAACAAATAATCAAGTCCAAAAATGGGTAGAAGACATGAACAGACACTTCTCTGACGATGACATACAAATGGCTAACAGACACATGAAAAAATGTTCATCATCATTAGCCATCAGGGAAATTCAGATCCAAACCACACTGAGATACCACCTTACACCAGTTAGAATGGCAAAAATTGACAAGGTAAGGAACAACAAATATTGTCAAGGTTGTGGAGAAATGGGAACCCTCTTACACTGTTGGTGGGAATGCAAGTTGGTAGATCCACTTTGGAAAACAGTGTGGAGGTTCCTCAAAAAATTAAAAATAGAGCTACCCTCTGACCCAGCCATTGCATTCCTGGGTATTTACCCCAAAGACACAGATCTAGTGAAAAGAAGGGCCATATGCATCCCAGTGTTCATAGTAGCAGTGTCTGCAATAGCCAAACTGTGGAAAGAGCCGAGATGCCCTTCAACAGATAAATGGATCAAGAAGATGTGATCCATATATACAATGGAATATTACTCAGACATCAGAAAGGATAAATACCTAACTTTTACGTCAACATGGATGGGATGGAGGAGATTATGCTAAGGGTAATAAGTCAAGCAAAGAAAGTCAATTAGCATATGGTTTCACTTATTTTTGGAACATAAGGAATAGCATGGAGGACATTAGAAGGAAGGGAATAATGAAGGGGGAGGGTAATTGGAGGGGGAGATGAACCATGAGAGATTATGTACTCCGAGAAACAACTGAGGATTTTAGAGGCGGGGGGGTGGATTTGTTAGCCCGGTGATGGGTATTAAGGAGGGCACATACTGCATGGAGCACTGGGTGTTGTATGAAAACAATGAATCGTGGAACACTACATTAAAAACTAATAATGTACTGTATGGTGACTGACATGACATAATAAAATTAAATTAAATTTAAAAAAAGGAAAAGAAAAAAGAGGAGAGATCACAACTGCACGACAGAAATATAACAATTATAAGAGAATATTATGAAAAATTATATACCAAGAAACTGGGCAATCTGGAAGAGATGATCAAATTCCTAGAAACAAAACAAAACAAAACAAAATCTGTACTGATACTAAAACAGGAAGAAACAAAACATTTAAATAGACCAATAAACAGCAAAGAAACTGAATCAGTAATCAAAACTCTGCCAATAAACAAAAATCCAGGGCCAGATGCCTTCCCAGGGGAATTTTACCTGACATTTAAGGAAGAGTTAATATATCTATTTTCTCAAACTTCCAAAAAAATAGAAATAGAAGGAAAACTTCCAAGCTCATCCTATGAGGCCAGCCTTTCCTTGATTCCAAAACCATACAATAATCCCACTAAAAAGGAGAATTACAGGACAGTATCCACAATGAGCATGGTTGCAAAAATTCTCAACAAGATACTAGCAAATTGAATCCAAGAGTACATTAAGATAATTATTTACCATAATCAAGTGGTATTTATTCCTGGGCTGCAGAAGTGGTTTGATATTTGCACACCAACCAACGTGATACACCGTATTAAAAAAAGAAAGGATAAGAACCACAGGATCCATTCAATGGGTGCAGAAAAAGCATTTGAGAAAGTACAGAAACCATTCTTGATTATAAAAACCCTCAAAAAAATTAGGTTTAGTGGGAAAACATCTCAACATCATAAAGACCAAATGAATGACCCAAAGCTAATATAACATAACTAGAGAGGTAAAAAACTGCTCTTTAAAAACTCTTTAAAAACTATAGAACACTGATGAAAGAAATTGAAGACACAAAAAGACTTGGAAAAGCATTCTATGATCATGGACTGGAAAAACACTGTTAAAATATCTATACTACCCAAAGCAATCTACACATTCAATGCAATCCCTATCAAAGTAACAGCATCATTTTTTCACAGAACTGGAACAAACAATCCTAAAACATGTATGGAACCACAGAAGATCCCACATAGCCAACATAATGCTGAAAAGGAAAAACAAAACTGGAGGCATCATTATTCCGGACTTCCAGCTCTATTACAAAGCTGTCATCATCAAGACAGTATGGTACTGGCACAAAAACAGAGGCATAGATCAATGGAATAGAATAGAGAACCCAAAATGGACCCACAGCAATCTGGTCAATTAACCTTCAACAAAGCAAGAAAGGATATCCAATGGAAAAAAAAAGTATCTTCAACAAGTGGTGTTGGGAAAATTGGACAGCCATAGTGTCTAGAACAACACTTGACCATTTTCTTACAGCATATACAAAGATAAACTCAATGGAACAGAACAGAAAACCCAAAATGGACCCATGGTGATCTGGTCAACTAATCAAAGCAGGAAAGAATATCCAATGGAAAAAAGACAGTCTCTTCAACAAATGCTCTTGGAAAAATTGGACAGCCACATGCAGAAGAATGAAACTGAATCATTCTCTTACACCACACACAAAGATAAACTCAAAATGGATGAGTTTATGTGGGACAGGACTCCATCAAAATCCTAGAGAACACAGGCAGCAATGTCTTTGACATCAACTATAGCAACTTCTTACCAGACACATCACCAGAGCCAAGGGCAACAAAAGCAAAAATGAAATATTTGGACCTCATCAAGATAAAAAGCTTCTGCATAGCAAAGGAAACAAACAACAAATCTAAAAGACAACCTACAGAATGGGAGAAGATATTTGCAAATATGTTAGTGTTAGTATCCAAAATCTATAAAGAACTTATAAAACTCTACACTAACAAAAAAGCTAATAATCCAGTTAAGAAATGGGCAGAAGACCTGAATAGATAATTTTCCAAAGAAGTTATACAGAGAGCCAACAGAAACATGAAAACATGCTCAACATCACTCATCATCAGGGAAATACAAATCAAAACTACAATGACATACCACCTCACACTTGTCAGATTGTCTAAAATTAACAACACTGGAAATAACATATTGGCGAGAATGCAGAGAAAGGGGAACCATCTTACGCTGTTGGTGGGAATGCAAACTGATGCAGCCACTCCAGAAAACAGTATGGAGTTTTCTCAAAATTTAAAAAGAGAGCTACCCTATGAGCCAGCAGTTGCACTACTAGATATTTATGCAAAGGATATAAACATACAGATTCAAAAGGATTACATGCACCCTGAGGTTTATAACTGCACTATCAACAATAGCTAAACTACGGAGTGATCCCCATGGACTAATGAATGGATAAAAAAAGATGTGGTATATATACAATGGAATATTAATCATAAAAAAGAATGCAATCTTACCATCTGCAACAACATGACTGGAGCTAGAGAGTATTATGCTAAGGCAAGGTAAGTTTGCCAGAGAAAGACAAATACCATATGATTTCACTCATATATGGAATTTAAGAAACAAAACAGATGAACAGACTTTTAACTCTAGAAAACTGATGGTTTCCAGAGGAGAGATGGGTAGGAGGATGTGTTAAATGGGTGATGGGCATGAAGGAGAGCACTTATTGTTGAATGTAAGTGATGAGTCACTAAATTCTACTCTTGAAACAAATACTACCCTTTATGTTAACTAGAATTTTTTAAAAAGTTGAAAGAAAAGAAAAAAAGTGAGTGCTTCTAGTCTTGTTTCAAACTCTTCAAATAATTTTTCTGCCTCTATGATATAAAACAGTATCACAGACAAGGTCTCCCAGGTCAAGTAAAATCTGATTCCGATCAACTTCTTAGTCCAGCTTTTAGGACAGCCACTATATGTTTCTCCTCTCTAATTATTCTGACTTCCCAGCTTTTCAAACGCTTTGTAGCATGAACTATACCTCTGCCTTCATTATCAGAATTTCTGTATCTTCATATCTCATTTCAATTATGCTTCCTTAGAGAAACTGCCCTCAATTTCCTGAGTAGGTTAAGCCTTCATGCTTCTCTTTCTTTTTACTTATATTTGCTACTGATCCCAGCTTACATGTACAGAGTTAGCCAATGTCACAAATTTGTAAATATAAAATTAAAATATTGCACCTGCAGGAACACATAAAGATGAGAAAGCTGCAAAATATATGCATATACTTTTGGATGATCACATTAATTTAGTAGCTTTGAAGATACTAAGTAAACTGATATGTAAAAGAAGCTGATGCACAGAGAGTGAAACACTGAAATGAAATCATTGTTTTCCAAAGAGATTCATGTAGCACAGAACATCCAAAATGGCTGAAATAAACATTATACATGTCAAGACACACACCTTGTTTAAGTTTGGACAGCATTGATTTTTCGGCATCCACTGAAGCACTCTTACCAAGTAAAAGACGTTTGGCTAAATCCTTTTTGTAGAAGGCTTCAAAAACATCTTTCCCTGTAATATTTAAGGAAAAACACCTTAATGTCAGACATGAAAAATGCAAAATGATAATACCAGATGGCAATTAAATCACATACTATATCCAATAATATTTGAAAATCATGTAAATAACAGCAAGTGAAACACAAGCGGTCACATTATCTGATTGCATTTATATAAAATACCACAAAGTACATAAATCCATATAGAATAGCCAAATTATTGTTTGCCAGAAGCTGAAGGCAAGAAGGAAATGAGGAATGACTGGTTAATTTGTAGGGAGTTTATGATGAACAATTTTCAAACTAGGTAATTGTGATGGCTGCCCCAAAACATGAACATATTTATTGTCACTGAATTGTAAAATTTTTTTAAGTTATCAGTTTTACCACCATAAAAAATTATTTGAATTCAGTTTATATTGGGATTTGCACATAACTTCTTTAGATTTCTTCCACAAATGTTATTATTGTTTTAAACATTTATTTTTTAAAAGATTTTATATATTTATTTAAGAAAGAGAGAGTGATAGAGCACAAGCAGGGGGAGAGGGAGAAGCAGACTCTGAAATGAGCAGGGAGACCAACACTGGGCTTGATCCCAGGACCGATCATGGGCTGAGCCGAAGGCAGATGCTTAACCGACTGAGCAACCCAGGTGACCTGTTTTAAACTTTTAAATAGACATTTTAAACCAAACTACTCACCATTAATGAACCTAAATAAAATTATTACTTTATCTAGTAATTCTTCAAGTTCTTCATCTGTAGCTTCTTTGTTACCTGCACGAAGTTTTGAATCCACATACTTTGCTAAAATGTAAAAAACAATTTTCTAAGTAATGCCACATTTTCAAATATACACTATGAACAAAAACCATTTCTTCAAATAAATACTTTCCTCCTGAGCCAGATGCAACAATTTTCATAAAACAGAAAATGAATAAATGAGTTGATGGATAGGGAAGTGGAAGGAAAATAAAAGACAAATTTTACTTAAAGTGCTTTTAATATTTCTATAATCTCAATGTCCAAATGTTACAATACAGTAATTTCCTCAATGTCTTGCCCCCAATCTTTTTTAAAATCCCCCCAAATCGTAAGATATTACATAAAACTGAGATTATTTCAATCCCAAAATCTTAGATTTATTAAGTGTTGATTATATTCATTTTAAAGAAAAGAATATCAATTTGATATTTTGTTTCAACTTTCAGAAAGTATGTCAATAAAAAGAAATACCTTAAAATATAAATTCGTTTGATTTTGTGGGAGTAAGGAAAGCTTTCACTTTTTTAAAAAAATAAAAACAAGAAAAAGAAGTGCGCCTATCTATAATTTTTTCGTTTCATCTACTGATAAAAAAAAACAATTAAATTTATAACAAGCTAAAGGAACAGAAGTTTCCAAAGTGCTGCATTATTATTAAACAAAGGAACAATGTCTTGTGAAGACTAAACTTGAGAGAAATAGTTTATTACAATCACTGATAATCAAGCATGCAATACTATGATAAATTAGAGGTCAAATTGAACTCTTATCACATAACTTAAATGAAACAAAATAAAAAATAAAATACATATTTCATAAAATTGAAAACCATACCTAGAAGTTCAGCTGACTTGTTAGGTCTTTTATTTATAAATGTTTCAAAAGCACCTTTCATGGCAACAATAAATTTTTCATGCTTCAGAAAAGATGTTTCAATAATAAAATCAATCTTATCTTTAAAATCCAGAAGCTGTTGCACCATTGTCTTGTCTTTTATAGGATTAATTACTATGCTGTTACCAAATTTCTGAAAAACACAATTACCTTAATTATTATTATTACATACCAAGTAAAACACCACAACTTTAATAAAAAATTTAACTTCATTTACAAAAGAATCTCAGAATCGGGCGCCTGGGTGGCTCAGTTGGTTAAGCGACTGCCTTCGGCTCAGGTCATGATCCTGGTGTCCTGGGATCGAGTCCCACATCGGGCTCCCTGCTCAGCAGGGAGTCTGCTTCTCCCTCTGACCCTCCCCCCTCTCATGCTCTCTCTCCCTGTCTCATTCTCTCTCTCAAATAAATAAAATCTTTAAAAAAAGGAGAGAGAATCTCAGAATAGCAAATATGCAGAAAACATCTAAAGAAAAAGATATTGCTAGATAAAGACAAGATACTCTGGAAATGAAGCCAACAGAAATAAATGAAAACTAACTGATTATCTGAGTGGAGAATTACCTATAAACATATGAAATGCAAGTCTGTGATGCCTACACAAGAAGTCAAAAAAAGAATATAAGTATATTAGACTCATAGGAATAAATAGATGAAAAGTATCTTAAAAAGAGGAAAGTAAAAAGGCTTACTCCAAAAGGGCTTACTTCATTAACAAAATGATTAAGCTACCAAAATTGTCAGTATCAAATTTTCAGAATGCTGGAATATAATCAATCACAAACCTACAAAAATCAGAGTAATACTTAATGAAGAAAGAAGCTCTGAGAGCTTTGTATCATCTCCCATTCAACTGTTTAAATGGTCTTAGAAGCAGCTTATTATGTATGATATTCACAATAATAGAGCCATTAAGAGTGATGAAAAGTCAAAAGGCAACAGTATAACATATTTTGAGTGCTGGGTGAAAAAACTGTCACCAAATATTCTTTATCCAGAAAAAAAATTCTTTCACAGTGAAGGAAAATTAAGAAATTATGAGATAAGCAAACGCTGAGATAGTTTTCTGCTAGTAGACCTGCCGTATAAGAAATACCAAAGCAAAGGGATGTTCACAATGGCAGAGGAATAGAAGAGCTTAGTTCCCTCTGGTCCCAGGAATTCAGCTATGTATCTATCAAATCATTCAGAACAACCTGTGAAATCAATCAGAGATCTAAAAAAAAAAGAATTGCTGCAACTCTACAAATAGAAAATTGACCACTTTCTGCAAGGTAGGATATGCGAAGTGAATCCAAGGCAATATATGAGAAGACTAACCGCGGAGCAAGGGAGCCTCCATAAGACAGCTACTAGAAAGTGAAAGAGTGGCGGATCAAAAATTCAGAACTTTTACAAGCCCGCTCCAGTGAGGGACATCCCTGCCTGAAGGTACTCAGGTGGCAAAGCAGGACAGAATCCCAGGTGGGACAGTGTGGTCTCAGGTTTCTGGGGGTCACAGGAAGACCCGGGGTGCCTGAGTGTGGCAGAGGTCCCAGGCATTGGAGCTGGGAAGCTGGGCGCAATCAGCGAGCCCGCAAGTGCGCTCTCAGCTCTGGGTTGCCGTACACCTCAAACCACAGCATAGTCGGGTGACCGATCTCTGAGCAGGGGCCCAAAAAGCAGCAGAACCACAGCAAGATCCCCCATTCTTCCCCTGGGAAGGGCGACATGGGAATCTGCAGGGTTTGGAGACTCAAAACAGGGTCGCATGCCTGAGACAGAAACCCTTGGTCACAGGCTGGGTTAGCACAGAGTGCGGACAAAGACCAGGGAGACAGGAGTGACTGACTGCTTTTCTCTGAGGGCTCAATGAGGAGTGGGGCCCAAGCTTTAGGCTCAAGGCTGCAGATTGGAAGGCTGCCATTTTCATTCTCATCCTCTAAAGGAGCATGGAAAGCCTTCAGGGAACAAAAGCCACATAGAGCAATCTGGAGCCGCTTACTTAGTCTGGCCTCTGGGCAAGAGCAGTGCAATTCTGCCTTGGGCAAAGAGAATCAATGCGATAGGACCCCCCACCCAGAAGATCAACAAGAACATCCCCCTAAGACCAAGTCTGCTTATCACACAGAACTGCAAAACTCCAGTGTTAGGGGGAAATACTATACAGAATTCATGGCTTTTTCCCCACAATACTTTAGGATTTCAATTTTAATTTTTTTCTCTTTCCTTTTTCAACCAATTTTTTTACTTTATCAAATCGTTTTTTACTTTCATTTTTACCGTTACATTCTATCCTTTCATCCTTACATTCTATCCTTTCAACCTTATACATCATATGTATAAGGTTTTTTTTCTTACAGTGTTGGAAGGAAGGGTCTTCTAAAAAACCAGACCAAAATACACCAAGAATCTAGTGTATGGTTCTGTTCTCTTCAACTGTCTGATTATATTCCTTCTTTTTCCCCCATATCCTTTTTTTAAATTTATTTGTTAAAGCCATTTTAAATTTTCATCATTACACTTAGATTCTATCCTTCAAATTTTATTTCTGTATAGAGTTTTCCTTTCTTTACGATTTTGGGATGTAGTTTCTTCTTCTAACAAACCAACCAAAATACACTCAGGATCTACTGTATTGCTCTGTTCTGTTCACCTATTTATATTCTTAATTTTTTTCTTTTTTTGTCTTTTAATTTTCATTTGCAGAGTTGCATTCTATGCATTCATTATATTTATTTTATTTTTGTACATATGTAAGTTTTTCTTTATTTACAATTTTGAGATATATTTTTCTAACAAACAGACCAAATTACACACAGGATCCAGCGTATTGCTCTGTTCTTTTCACCTGCCTGATAATATTCTCTTTTTTAAATTTTATTTTTTTTTACTCAGGATTCAGGTCTCCTCTAATTTCTTTAGTGTATATTTCTCTGGGGTCTTGTTGCTATTTTAGTATTTTGCTCTCAATGACAAGATGGAAAAACTCACTTCAAAAAAGAGAACAAAAGGCAGTACTCACTGCCAAGGACCTAATCAGTGTGGACCTAAGTAAGGCATTGGAACTAGAGTTCAGAATAATGATGATAAAGATACTAGCTGGGCTTAATGAATCTGTGAATCTGTGGGGAAATATTGGAAGATAAACAAAAGGGGGAGGGAGCCACCATAATCCAACATCAGGAAGGTGATATAACACCAGAGCACAAGCATCCCACACTGAGGACCAGGCACAGACACCCAGACCAGTAGTGGCAGAGAAAGGACTTTAGTGCAGCCCCCAGACAGGATCCAGGAGCTTCAGGGGCCCCTGTACAAACCGGGGATGGGTTCTGGTTTTAGAAGCACAAAGGGCACAGACACGAACCGGCCCTAGGATCAACCTCTGGGATTACTGCTGTGGGCATGCACCACTGTGGGAGGCAGCAGCTTTTAGCAACACAGTCAGAAAAGGAGACTGTATCCTGATGTGCTCAGTGAAAAGCAGACTATGATTTGACAACTCTGGATCAGATATTTGGGTGCAGTCATTTCTGCTCTGATTCCTGAAGATAACAAAGAGATGCAGAAAGCAGGCAGTTTCCATTGAAACCATCCCCACCACGAGAGGGGGCAGAGCAAGTCTGCCCAAGCAGGGTTCCTGAATAACAGCCCAACAGGCCCCGTCCCCAGAAGACAGGCTGGAAAAACAAGAGGACCACCACCCTAGGGTTCACATAAAATAGGTACATCTTGCTTGCATCGTGGTTGATACTTTGGACTCTGTACATTCCCTCAACCACCACTAAAAAGAATAACTAAGAGGAGGAAACCCCAACAAAGAAGAAAACCAGAGACTATGGCCATTGCCACATTTCGAATGGATATGGATATAAACAAGATGTCAGAGATAGACTTCAGAGTAGCAGTTATGAAGTCAATATCTAGGCTTGAGAAAAATATTAGCGACAATATAGAATCTCAAAAGACAGAAATGACAGCTAATCACCTGAGGCGCAAAAAATTGGTAGCGTAGGGGACCCTATTCCAACTGGTCCCCAGAATTGAACTGGATATCTACCAGACCACTCTGAGCACCCAGGAAATTAGACTGAGCTGTAAGAAAATAGATCTGGATCTCTACAAACAGAATATTGCAGGCTGTTGGTTTCAAGGTACAAAGCGGGGGAGCCATGATTCCGAGAGCAGATATCAGAGGATAAACAGAAGGGGAAGGGAGCCCTCAGGATCCTGCACCACGGGTGAGTGATAGCCTCCTGTGCTGGGGACAGGGCGTAGACTCACAGATGGGAGCGGCGGGGAAAGGACTTTAGGGCAGCCGAGCTGCGGGCCACACCTGCGACCTGGGGCCAGCTGGTGGTTTTAGAAGCACAAAGGACGGAGACATGCCCCCGACCTGGAGGCAAGGACTGGGAGCGCTGCAGAGAAGCGCACAACCGAGGACGCTGCAGGTTATAGCAGCACAGACAGAAATGGAGATAGTGTGGCCTGGAGATCTCACTGAAGAACAGACCGCGATCTCTCTGCTCTGAGGCAGAGGGTTGGAAATGGTCTCTTCCGCTCTGACTCTCGGAATAGACGAAGAAAGCCACCAGTGAAAGCCACCAGAGAACAAAACCCCCCAAAAAGCAGTCTTCACTGAGCCCATCCCCCAACACAAGGGGGCAGGGCAACTCTGCCCAAACAGGGTTGCCTGAGTACAGCGCAGCAGGTCCCACCCCAAAAGACAGGCTGGGAGAACAAGAGGCCACCAACCCTAGGTCCCTATAAAACAGGAGCATCTTGCTTGTGTTGTGGTCAATAACTTGGACTCTGTACATTCCCTCAACCACCCCTTAACAGAATGACTAGGAGGAGGAACCCCTAAAATAGGAAAGACTCAGAGACTGTGACTTATGCCACAGATTTACAAATGGATGCAGACATAACCAAGATGTCGGAGATGGAATTTAGGCCCGCAACTGTGAAGACAATAGCTAGAATGGAGAAATCAATTAATAACAACATAGAGTCTCTAAGGGCAGAAATGAAAGTTGAATTGGCAGAAATTAAAAATGCTATCAATAAGATCCAGTCTAATCTAGATAATCTAACAACTAGGCAGTAAGCAAGAGGGAAGAACGAATTAGTGATCTAGAAGACCTAGAAAACA